TTGGGGGAGGCCCCTCTGAGAGTGTGGATTGCCCTAACTGCAACTAAACCAACCATATCCAACCACCAAACCATGGCAAATTGCCCCAAACCTAAAAACCTGGGTTGGTGGGAAGTCCCCGCATCTACAAATTTAGGTGACCATTCTTAGTGGGGAACCCACCAATGGGAGTTTCAGGGTACAACTGAACTGGATGCCCTTCAGAAAGGCAGTGGCCCTGCCGAACAAACCAACATCTCTTCTTGTCCAAACATGGCATGGTGCACGTTCGGCCCCTTTGGAAGGTGGACAGGGGGCAATTGTGCACTTGCAGGCAGTTGCTTCCCCAAAAGGACATGGAAGAGTTGGGTGGTCTTTGGGTGGTCCCCCCGCATGCCCTCCCCCAACCAACTAGTGTGATTTGTCAGTGAGTCAGGAGTTCGTTAGAGAAAACCTCGTGAAAACTCGAAAATATCTTTGGGGCTACATCGGTTCTGCAAGCATCTACAAAGCTGTGTACCAAGCCTTTGCGCTCCGACACACGCAAACACACAATAGCTGAGCGCATGATTATGCTTCACCTGTCCAAAACAAGGGTCTAAGCAAGGAACCTTCATCACAAAGAAGGTCGCAAAGGAAGTCACAAACTTTACATACACCTGAAAGCAAGGGCCTGTTGTGCTCAACCGCTGGCTGCCAATAAATCTGTAAGCTCATTCTTGCGGGAACTGCCTAAAAGCCTGAAACCACAACTTTACTGCGGGGGAAAGCGTGTTCAACTTCCACCAAAGAACCCAAAAAGAACAAATGATCACCTTGAGGAACCTCGACAACTTCACAAAATATGACTGCTAAATTCGGTAAACCAAAGACGTGACGAGGGATCCGGACGATTCGCTTTCGGCCAGCCAAAGGATCTGTTCGCAGCTACCTGACTCGGCAAAGTTCAGGATCCCTCCAAATTTGTTTTAAACGGAAACCAAGAGGAAGCGGCCCCACTTCCAGTTTCTATATCCGTTTTGCGTGGTTTGGTACACCAAGACTGGTTTTCAGATGACGTTTCATGTTGATTTAGTCAACCTCTTTTCTGAGACTCCATTGCCATTCAAATGGGGTTCCGCCATGAGAAACCTATCTGGAACTAGCTCCCGCCCGGGCCTCCCCAAGGCTTCCGCTGCCCCACCGAAGCCCTGGGCCGTATGTCGGATGTGTCACGGGCCATGGCCGAAGGGTCCTTTGGTAGCCTTTCACCATGGCTGGGGGCTTCAGAGGGGCTGAAGATGGCTGAAGCAACTCTGGAGAATTATTACTCGGCCCTCGAGCGCCTTTGGGGTTGGACGCCTGAACCTTGTAAAGACCAGTGGGTGGAAATACCCGGCATTACCCTGGTTGTCCTTGTTCTTTTTTGGGTTGGTGAGATGGGGTCGTGGATTTCCTGTCTTGAACCGCGGCTATGGTTCGGAAATCGGAGTACAACCCCAAACACCCTTGAGTCATTGAGGGTGTTCGAAGGGTTGGGTGTGGTTGCTTCACATGCCAGAATTAGGGAATCAATGGGAATCAAGCGGACGATGGTTAATTTGGAACAATGCGCCATCTGAAGCGCTGAGTGAACTGCACAAAAATGCTTCAACTTGTTGGGCATTGACTACCCAACATGACGAAGAAATATGCATGGGAACGAGTACTTTCCAATTTAGAGACTGAACAGCAAAGACCCTCTGAAAAACACGCAAAAGGGGACCTGGAAGATCAGTTTCCTGAAATCACTCCCTCTCAGGTGCCAAATTAATGCAAGCGCAATTCACACATCGAAAGCCCGGAATCCCCGAGTCAGGAAACTTCATCATGGGCCGACATCAGTGGCAACCCTCTTGCGAGATGGCGATCTAGGGCAGACACCCAAAAACACACACAGAAGGAATAATTCAGCCCACCAACCAATCATGAGGCTTGGGCCGCGACCATCCCAATCAACCCATACCACGTGTGGGAGGGAGCTTCCAACAGACCTCAGTTGCGAGAACATGTTGCTGACCTCCTGAGTTGACAGTACCAGGAAAAGAACAGCTTGGGCCTTGACCAAAATGATGCAGCCACAAAGTCAAAGCTTTTTAACTCACTAAGCCAAACCCCCCAGCGCCTCTCGCGTTCGGACCCCGAAGCGCCTCTCTCCACAGGCTGCCACAAGCTCGCGAGAGGCCGCGGAGGCCTGGAGCAAGCGCCAGGCCGAAATGGTCTTCGCACCCAAACAGCACACAAGTTGCTCACCTGGAACCAAAAAGTCAGACTTTTTGACCTTGACTAAACACCAACAGAAAAGGCAACATAAGCGATCAGAAGATGTGACGTAAGTCGGTTGAAGGGAATCCTCTGTTGCATGGCCGTGAAACTCAAATGTAACCGAAATATACTTCCAGAAGGAAATGCAATCTTGAGAATCCTGCAAGCTTCCAATCCGAATTTCACAAATCCCAATCTTGGGAGACCGTCGCAAAGGAAAATAAAAGCCCCTTCAAACCCGCAGGGAAGAATCAAGGATTGTGAACAAGAGGACAATTTCTACCCCCTTTCAGTTTCCATTGGGATTGCAAACATTCTAGATTGCTCAGCACCCGGATAGCCGCCTTTTTGGGGGGTATTACTCGTACAAAGCTCTCATATAGCCCAAATGTGATATGGTCATTCCAGCAACTGAAGGATGCAGTAGAGATTTCCCTTGACTCACCCGACAGGAACTGGACTGGGTTGATGGTCTCTGGGGGCAAGCAACATGGTTTTGACATGTGAGGAATAGTAAAAACTCCTGACACCCCTTTGAGTTTGCTCTTTCATTTGTTTGGAGTTGTTCAAGACGCTGGTGTGGAGGTTAGGGGGTACCATTGTATTTGGTTTCAACAAGAAGCCAAATCAACAATCCAAACCAAACCAACTTGCGGCAAGGTGATGGCTCCACCATCCCTGGGACCTCGTTCATATGATTGGCAAAGCCGCCCCTGATTTGGCCCCGCCAAGGTGCCTCCTCCAAAATACACCGCATTTCGGAGGGCAAGGTCCATGGAAGCCCAAGACCCTGATAAAGCCCCCAGAACCCTGAACCAATGTGGTCTTGGACCTCAGGGGAATCCTCAGGAAGCCCCCGCTTTGCTCATTGCTCTCCAGTCGGCATACAAATATGGTTGTCGATGAGAAGCAACTTATGGCGCAACATGAAACAACAAATTGCATAAATATTGAGGCAAGTTTAAGTGTCCATTCGCGGGAACCGCCCAGCTCCCAGAAGTCTTGGGCTGCGGCTCACTTCGGCAGAAACTACACCTTCCATGCAGGAATAGGAGCCGCAGTACCTGGTCCAATGGTCTGAGGCCACTCCATCCACATGCCCTTCCTTCCAACTCTGTTCTGGCTCGAATGTCAAACCATCTGGAGGCGCGTGGCACAAGCATTCAATCAGGTTCCTTGAACTATTTATAGTATCCTAACCTCGCCATAGGCCCGCTTCCCCATTTTTCTCCAAAATAGGCCTTCACAAGGAAGTACTTTGGGGGAACAGGGGGGTGGGGTTGTGGTCTGGGTAGGGGACAGCTAGAATTGGAAGGAGGGAATTATATCCCTTGAAATCTCAACCTCCCCCACCCCCCACCAAATGTGATGCACAAACCCCTCCAACCCAGACCATCTTGGGCCCAAATGTGAAAGGCGCCTTGCAGGCTGTCAGGCAAAGAGCTGCCAAGAGCCCAAGTGCAACACAATAGAACGATATCTAAGACCACGGAACCCATCAGAATGGCCCTCAGAAGGAAAAATAATTGTCAAGGAGGATGCCAGTCAGGTACCATGTTCATGCGCGGGAGAGCACAAACAACACCTACCAGCAACCTGTCAGGCTTGTCAAAATTCCAAACAAAAAGAACATGCCTACGAGGGTGTTATTCTACTCCTTGCCGACCTTTTCATGTCAAAAGTCGTCCCCAACCCTACGCAAACCTTAGTGTCCGTGACAAATCGAAACAAGTAGCAGCCTAGGCAGCTACGTGTCGCTAAAGGAGCGCCCTAATTTATGGACCTTGACAGGAATTCAGGGATCCATGAAGGAACCATGTAGGACCTCTGGCTGAATCATTTCTGGGACAAAAGGAGACACGCTATTTCCAGATTCTTCAGATGTCTTCCTTTGTGGCGCCGGTCGCATTTCGACGCACCATGAGCGAAGCCATGAGCGGGGGTGACACGGGTGGTGTCAACGCACTCCTGCGAATGGAGCCACTAATCAGGATTTGCCTTTTTGGCCGAGTCCCTTTTTCAGAAATAAGCTGGACCTGCAAGAGGCGTGCGAAAATTTTGGGGAGCCCCCCAGCACGCAGTCTGAAAGGCAAACCCTGCTCTTCAATTCGCTGGTTACAATCGCTTACAGTCGAATCTTTGACGGGGCTAAACCAAACGCGACTTTATCAGTTGCCTTTTGTTGGGTGCGATCACATCTTAACTTTGGCATGAACATATCCGTTCTCCCATCTCATTGACAGCAGCAGGTGTGCCGCAATGCCAAAAGCACAGAGGTACTGTACAACACCTCTTTGGCCCATTCGGGTTGGGTGCCCTCTCTTGCCGCATCAATGCAGCAAATGAGAAGGCCAATTGCAAAGTTTTCTTGGCGGAGCCAGGTGCCCAACTTCACATGATGAGTCTGTCCGCCTAGACTTTTTGCTCGCCACTAAAAGAAGTGACCTGTCTTCATTGATTTTGACTTTAGCATCACGCCAGAAGGACCCGAGCAACTTTGTTGCTGGGCAGACCGGCATGCTAGCAAATGACACTCCATGTAGGAATGGGCAAAAGTCGTTCCACACGCTCCCAAAGAACCACTATTTTTCCTCAAGCTCCTCGTGGCTTCCCTTTAAAGGAACTGGACCAGGGCTCGCATGAACAACATTTTGCTAACCTTATAGCCCACATCTTCGCAAGCATTCCTTTTCCACATGGAGCGTCTGGATGTTCCGTGACCGTCACTGGTCGGCGCCTTACTGCTGCCGGCAGCCAGGCTGACACTTTTGCTTCGCCACTGGTGCCTGTCGCAGGGCCATCTGGAACAGCTACATGTGCCACGGTCAAAACATGCCATACCCTCTGTGGACATGGGCAAACACCCCAATCTGTTGCGCGAAATATAGAGTGCTACCCAAATAAAGCATGGGTTGTTGGATATCTTTACAAAAACACAAAACGGCACCAAACTCCTTTCAGTAGCACCCAACATGTTCCGCCATGTTGAGCCGGCTAGACGTGGCACTTGCATGAGCAGCAAGTCATATCGTGTTCTCCGGAAAAATGCGGCCCTCTAACTCATCCCTTTCTATCCCGCACACGTGCAACTTTGCTTTATTGCATGCAACTTGCTCCCAGACCTTCAGTGGCATGGGGACAAGGCTTATCTCTTTCGCTGCTACAGCAAGAAAGAGAACAGGGCTTGCACACATGGCTTGAAGCTTGACACCTATTGGCTATGCAAGTTTGCTCAAGATCTCAACATGCTGTCAAAACTGCCACTGATTGACTGAGCCCGTCCGTGTTTTTTTCTTTTTTGTGCGCCGGAGACCATCTTGGCAAAACATCTGCGCAAACAAGGCATGCAATTACTCTGAGCCACCAAGCAATAAAACTGCGTATCATGGGCTGGACAGCCGTGGCTTAAGGTTGATGCTGTGGCTTTGGCAACAGCGGTTGGCTGCGGTCGCGGCTTTGGCAAAACATATGTGCCACAGGCTATGTACAACTTAGTTGGTCTAATTGTCAACATGATTGACTCCGCACATTCCCTTGCGTGCTCAGCGTGCTCAGTCTGATGATGAACTACTGGACATGTTGGCTGTAACCACCTCCTTGGCCCCATCTGTTTCCTCACCCCGCCCCGCGCCTCTTTGAGGCCAGCCTTGCCTTTTCCCGAGACCGGGGTCCTAAAGACCCGGCGCGCCAAAGATGATGTCCCCCCCAAAAAAAAATCCTCCACAAAAGGCCAAAGACAGCCACCGACTTTGTCTGCTCAACATGGTGCTGAATCTGGTTCTCAACAATAGAATGAATCATGTGGCAACAGCAGCCAGCACCCCTCAAAACCATCAATCAATAGATGAGCCAAACAAAACAACATGGTTCCAACTTGTCTTCCTTATCATCGCAGATTCAAGCAGCGGGCTTCAAGCCAAAGTTCAACACCGAGTCTCCCACATGGGCCCAACAACTACAGCAAGCATCAGCAAGCCATCCCCTCACAGCTGCCTAGGCAATCTTAACTTTGGATTCATCCGGAGGACTGTAGTACGAATAGTAGAGCAACCCGAAATGGACCATTTCCACAAACTCTCCCGAAGTGGACCCCTCCAGACGCCGACCGCCCGCTCCTGGTGGGACTCTCCGACAAAGCCTGTCCCTGGGGCAAGTATAGCTTTGGTTTGGGGGAAAATCAGACGTCCCCACACACACAAAAAAGGCTTTGAAGGAAGGTTAGAATCACTCCCCCGAAGGATCCCCCAAGCAGATCACCTCCCCAACCATACCCCCTTGGAAAAACACAAGTAGACCAAACTGGAAGTGTGTTTGGGAGGGTTGCCGGGTGGTGTGTTTTGGGGGGGGGGGGGTGGCAGGGGAAGTTTCATGATATGGGGTTCTAAGACAAAGCCTTTCTGCAGCCAAGGGTGGGTCCGATTTTTTGTCTCTCTTGGTGTGCTGTCCACAAAAGGGTTGTCACTTCTGGTTAGTGAGAGATAAGGGTGCCTTGTGCAGTGGCCGCATGATCTTCAACTTTGTTGGAGGAAGGGTACTAGTACCTGTCTGTGATATGACCGTGTTCACGGCAAACCATCTCCAGAACGCGTTGTCTGAGCACCTGAAGCCATCCAGTGGTTCTGGCGCCCCTTTTACGCATGTGACCATTTCCCAGATTCCTGGAAAGACCTCCAAAAGGGGCAGAAAACAATGTGTGGCCACGCGCAGGTAAGGCGTGTAGGACATGAACCCAAACTTAAAAGGGACTTTGACGGGCAACCACCAGAAGAAAGCAAACAATGATGCCGAAAAGGTTTTTAAAGTATCCCCGACATCTTGTCATCTGCTCCCAGAATCGGAAAGCGCCTCCTCCTTCCTGCGGCCGTGGAGCAATCAAGCATGCGGAAGGAGTGACAGGGTGTCAAGTACCTTCTAGGCTTCAACCCACTTTTGACCAACTAATCCAAGGGACCGATTCCTTCTGAAACCATCCAAAAGAGATTGCCAATCGAGGGACCCCCCAAGTACAACAAATGTTACACAATTCTGTCAATCCTTCAAAACGAAAGAGCTGCATGCTGCGTCAATGGCCATGGAGTCTTTTATTCTCAGAACATACTGCAGGGCCACATGCATCATCTTCCAAGGAGCGCTCTGGAACCTACCATGCTACTTGCTTAGCAGCATTGCAGTTTCATACCTTCCACTATGGCAATGTTTGTTTTTTTCTTTTTCTGCGGAACACCGCGGAAGGCAACCGGATTTGTGTTGAGCCAAAAGGGGTTGCTTGAAGTTGCGACCCCGGCCAGTTGAAGCTGAGGATGCCCGGCCCAGGACTTGACTCCAGTCAAAATCGGGGTGACCCCCAGAATCGTGGCTTTCCTCTTGGTCTCCCTTTCAACCCACCTGAAAAAGTGTACACTAAAAGCACACAAGCTCATCTCAGTTGGACATTCGCATGGAAAGACCACTCAGTCCTCTCCGGAGGCTTCTCAGCCTGGCGAGACCCGGCCCTATGGACTGTCGTGTCTGAAGTACTCTTATTGCCTCTGAAGTATTTCAGCCATATTTGCTATCACATATACGTTTTTCATATTGGCAAAGAATTCACAAACCTTCTCTGACCTTCATCGTGGGTGAAATCACACGTTTTCCCCCGGAATCGGTGAGCTCAATAGATAGTATATTCGGCAAAAGGGTGGGATGGTTGCCCAGTAAATTGGGGGGGGACAACTCCAGGAGCACACCGTCAGGGGTGCACCTGGAATAGGGCTTTGCTATTATTCTCTATCGCAAACATATGTCTTTTCCCGAGCCGGGCACGTTTGCGGGCCTCGTCAGGGAAGATCATGGTGTTGATCCTTCGGGGTTTCTCATGTCAGTGAAGGGTGATGCTTAACCCAGCCAAACGCATGACAACAATCCTGGAAAATAGCAATGTCTACAAGGGAATGTATAAGGGAATGTTTGAAGGTGAAGATCAAAAGACAATATATGGGTTGAAATTGACATGTAGAGATCCCCCCTCTCCCCCCCAAAAAAAGCCGGTGACATCCTCAACCAGGGTCCCCAGAACTTGGAACTGCCCATCCCAGAACCCTCAGAACCGTCCCAGACCCGGAGCCTATCTGCGCAAAGACCCAAAGCTTTCAGCTGTTGGAGAAACAAACAACAGGGATAAAGCAAGGAAACATGGCCCAAAAAAGGGGGAAGCCAAAAGGTTGCAAGGTTGACTCGTTTTGAACAACTGAGCTATGTCATCTCCCAAAAGCTTCAAACAGTGTGTGTGTGTGTGGGTATCAATGTTCAAATACACCCCCCAAAAACAAAGGACATGTCATAAGGTGATGTTTAGCAGGTGATACAAAAACAGCGGTGTACATGTTCAAATGTGCTGGACCTTGACCAAGCCTAAACAAACAAGCGAAACCCAACAGTTGAACGGTCGATTTGCATTGGACAACGAAGCTATCAACAACTGAACTCCCCCACTGGTGACGTTTAAACGACCCAAAAATGGGAACAGGGAGGTTGGGGGGAACCCCACATAAAATTGAAGAAAAACAGAAAGAGCCCTGTCCTTCCATGCTCCTCCATGGCTGTAGCAGGCGCCGGGCGCAGCATCTCTTGGAACTGCCAGGGGCAAATCAGGGCCGCCTGCTCTTCGCCTCAGCCACTCGCTGGGGAGGACCATTTCTGGGATGAAATTCGGAAGGGACCAGTCGACAGGCGTGATCAGAATATGAGCCTTGTATTAATGGGCTGCATTTCTGGGGTGACTTCTCTATTGTTATTCTCGGATTAATCCAAGAAACCATACCAACGCGCTGTATGACTGGCTTCATCATTTTACTGGGATTCCTCTGCTTCGTCTGGCTCTCCAGATGTACTGTTAATACCAATCAACAGAACAAGGACAGCGCGGTTTCCGGCTTTGAACTGAGTCAAAATCAAATCAGGTGAAGGAGTCTACACAAAACCCACAGCAAAAAGCCCAAAGGCAAGGGACTGGTCCCTCCACACCCAGGCTTCTCGAACGTGGGGTCCAATATCCCTTCCGAGACCTCCGGAAGAGTTCCACGGGGTTCATTTACACTCCACAAACAAGAAGGAACAAGGTGCACCACAGGTCTGGACCCGCAAACAGCGGCACAACTGACCTTGTCGAGTCGCCGGCACGCGTGAAGTGCACCTGAACTGCCCCGGGGCACACGCTCGCGGAGACGTGCTTCACCTGAAGCCAAGTCTACCCATCACACTCTTGACCTGGTGAGTTGACTGGCTAGAACAAGCTCAAACTTTTGGCCCTAAGGGTACCCAAAAAACACCTTGGGAGATGGTAGCCCGGATGCCAACAACGCTTATGCGGTTTTGGGCTGGGGTAAGCCATCACGAAGAAAAACTTACGTTTGGAGGGGCTTGCATGAACCTCACCAAATCTTGACCCCCGGTGTGAGGGTTTTGATGGCTTGGATTCTGAGGCTCAGGAAAACAAGTCTCCTTAAAAGAAATGAACTGTTGAATCATTCCATTGCAAACCCCGAATGCTTGTTCTTGGAGTGTCGCTTCCAAATTCCCTGCGAAGAAAGACCTTCCATAATAACCACCAGCAGGGATGCCGATCATCAGTGCCTGATTTGGGGCCAGTTTTTTGCATCATGCTGCGGCGCCTCTGAAGGAGGTCTGCCAAACAGGTCACTCTTTTGTGAAGCATCCACTAATTCAAACTGAGTTCCATTTCCGCCAAACCATTCCGCACGTTGACAAGATAAACTGGCAGATCCCCCAGCCAATTCGAAACTGTAATGGGAACGGTGTCAACAATCGCCATTAGAACTCTCTGCTCAGGATCTGCGCATGTGTGGAACACTTTTCGGTTCCCTGCCGCTTCTGCGCTCAATTTCTCCGTCGGAACATCGGTGTCCCCGCCTGGCCCTGCAGCCACTGGCCATCCATCAGAACCAGCACGCGCACACCCACTCCGTAGCCGCCTCGGCCTGGCAGCGGGCAAAAAGGCGAAACATCACTGGGGCCATTGCATCCATATGTGTACATATATAGAAAGAGACAGAGAGGGACACAATTAAGATTTAGAATGTGTGTCTATGTACCATTGTTTACGCAATTATTTTTTTTTACGCAAATAGTCATTTTTCTTTGGTTATCAAAATTGATGTTTCCGTTGTTAGTCGCACTTCTTTCGCTATTAGGTGACCTACTCAATCAAAGGTGCATATATCCGCCGACATTGCTCGGCGTGTCGGATATTCAAGAGAGGATAGGGGATAACCCCCCCCTTACCCCCCGCCCGACGTCTGATACGTAGGGTTTCAGTACCACTAAACGTTGTTTTCGGGGATGGGCAAAACAGGGGTCCCAGGCCCGAATCCCCCGCCGGCTGATTGAAAACGAGGAAAAATGTTTTTTTTCGGGAAAGTTACAGGGGAGCGCAAGGGAAATGCCAGAAAGTGTGGAGAAATGAAGCGGAGGAAACAAAGGGAAATGCAAGGACATGCAGAGGACGCGAAATGGAAATGACAGGAAAGCAAGGGAAAGTAAAAGGGAAACAAAAGGGACTGAAAGGGAAATGAAGGGGAAAGGAACGAGAAGAGCGGAGCGAAGGGGGAGTAAACGGGACACAAAGGAGGAGGAAACCAAAGGGCACGAAGGGAGCTGTAGGGAAATGACTGGCAATGAAAGGGACATAAATGGACAATGAAGCGGACACGCCGAGAAAATGCCAGGGAAATGAAGGGGGAATTTGACAAGAAAGGCAGGTGACACGACTGGGAAATAATAGGGAATAACGAGACATGGACAGGACATGAAGGGGAAGTCAAGGGCTGGCTTGGGAAAACGCGGCTTGTTTTGAACTTTGATTTGCTGCAATCATTGACAAAGACCAGGTCAAGAAGTGATGGGCTTGCGCGAGGAAACGAACTACGGGAAGCGACAGGACATGCAAGACAGCCCAGAAAAGACACTGAAACACCCAGTGCTTTTCGAGCTTCGTCGCGTCTTGCGCAGAGACTGCTGCGGAAATGAAGGGGGGTGTGACAGACAAATGGAAGCTGAGATGGGCAGGAAACGGAGAGTCAGAAGATGTGCGGGGGCAATGACCTGGCGTGTGACAATACCTGACCTGAACAGCCGGTACGGCTGCGGCAACCGTGCCCGTGAAGACATGGAAAGACACGGACAGTCGGAAGATGTGACGGGGGAATGACGCGGACGCGCAAGACGCGAAGCGACGGGATATGAAAACGGTGCTTTTCGAGCTTCATTCGAGCAGAGACTGTTGTGGAAATGCAGGCAGGTGTGACGGGGAAGCGACACGTCCTGGAGATGAGAGGACGTCTTGCGGACAAGACTCAGACACAAGACTCAGAGGCTGAGATGGAACTCTCCGCATCCAAGAAGACAAGCCGCCCCCGCACGACCCAAGATTCCACACACTGCAACCGACCGGCCGCACGCTGCGCGTGCAGCGGACCGCGACCGCCCCGACCGCCGCAATGAATGTCCGCCGCAATGAGTCCGATGCAATGACGCGCAGCTCGCGGCGCTGCCTTTTTTTGCCTTTTTTTCTAGGCGGCACTGTTTGGCCGCTGCATCAAGCCCCAGCCGCAGCGTGAGCATGACACAAGATACGTGAGACAAAGGTGGTCGAGTAAGACGGACCACCAACCGATTGGGAGAGCCCCGCGAGGCACAAAAAGCCGTCAACAACAGAAGAACCCAAAAACCGCAACAGGGGGAACAAAACCAACCCCAAAAAGGCGGGTCGAAATAGGCGCCACTCCGGCGGAAAATGTCCAGATGTGAAGGCACATCCGAGCGCTAATGAGTGTCAAATTGGATCAGACTATCAAACATCCCTCCCAGAAAAGTAGGTGCAAAAATCCGGCAGCTATGCAGCAAGGAATCCATTGTAAAAGCACAGCTCAACATGAGCTGTGATGGCATCCGAATATATCACACCACCGTGCACAAGCAAGAAGAGATGCGGCACAAGCTGATCACCTATCTGGCCCTCAGCAAAGCACGTCGTAGCCTGTCACGCATACCCCTGCGGCTCTGCGGATTCTTGTCTTTGTCATTAAAGACACGGTCACAGTGCAAGTCATAGGGCCCAGGGGGCATGTCAATGACGAAGTTGAGATTAGTTAGTCGGATATCTTTGCTTCTTCAAACATGCGTGGGCTAGTTCAACCGTACGCTGTCCGTGTCGCAAGCCTGGTCGGGCCGCGAATCCTTGGCGAGCACGGTAGAACCCCAGGACCCGAAGAGATGTGGGTGACAAGGAAGATGGTGTCAAATCTACAGGCGTCAAATTATACGTAGTGACGTTCTGCAGGTGCGCCACAGTCATTCGCAAGTGGGAAATCTGTTCCTCTAAGGCCCGATATATCAGGGGACGAGCGACCGCTTCAGTGGAATCAAATGGGACATACTGCTGGATCTGCGTCTTACGAACCTTAACCGTCTCAATCCGGACCGGAAATCGTTGCCCAGTACATAGATAGAAGTTGAATAGAAGCTCTAACCAACTGATACCCCAATCATGTGGAGCCGAGGGACCATCCGGCCATTGTATGGTATGGAGCCACTACCACACAAGGTCAGCAATGCGTCCACCGACGTTACAGCAAACAGCTTGCGGCTCACCAAGTTCGGTGAAGGGTAAGGTGCGAGGCATCGTCGGGAGCCACGCGCCAAGATGCCGCAGGGCAGCTACCTCACGTGGAATTGGGCGTGGTTCATGCCCTGTACGAAGTTCGGCCTGACCAGGATCTGGTGAGAAAGCTCCTCGATGGCATCTTTGCGCACCAAGGCCAATTCGACCAAGAAACCCAGGGCATGCTGAAGTTGCTGCCGTTTGTGGGCAGCCACAGTATCAGCTAAGGCCACCACAGCAGGTGTCTCTGTACTAAGTGCTGTATTTGCGAGTCTGTCAGCTAGGTGATTGGCCGTGATGCCCCACCAGTCGTGTACTAACAGCCGTGACGGAGTCTCTATGGGCTTTGATCTTATGCACAGCAACGGAGCCTGCGGGCCACGAATCCCAGATAGCTTGGGCGAGATCATGATTCATACATGATTCTGGCAAAACCAAATGACCGAGTGACTTCCAGTGGTGGAATCCTGGCAATCCGTGTGAATATGCAGGCAAGTCGGAGTCCTGCATCCGAACAAGTTGCATGGCTTCCCATATTGCACACAGTTCGGCACGCAGCGGCGATTGGTGTCCTGGGCAGAGTCCGCACCCATTACCCGGACCTGCGGCGACGTTGAGACGGTCTGCATCACTGTGATGTACATCTTGAATCACACCCCAAGCCGCTCGGCTGGCCGCCGGGGTGTCAGGCGATTGGCATGTTCCATCCGTGTAGAACGTCCAACATACCACATTCCTACATGGTGGCGGATCAGCCTTGATAGATAGCACGTAGGATGGGTTCTGCGGGACATTTGTGAGCCACTGCAAGGTGTGTCCATTCAGGTCTCTGGTCACGGAGCCAAGTGACGACATCAGAATGACGAGTCCTGCATGCGTCACCGACAGGGCATTCGAACACTCTATGGTGCGTGGTGTCGTCACGTTGACACAGCGCACAGTACTGATCGGCCCACTGAGGCCCCCATTTGTGATATTTCTGGGCGCCACTGACAACGACACCAGTGATATTCATGACTGCACTTTTATGCAGATGACGTGGCAGCGCTGTGAAAGCTTCACGGGTGGTCTGCAAGTCAAAGGGCACTTGTACCGGAACTCCTTTACGGTTACCAACACCCTGCGTGATGCGACAGGACCAAACATGGTGAAGGGAACGTACAAGCTCAGACTTATCCACACATTGGATGCGAAAATTGACGCCGGCGGTACCACTGACCAATCCTGTGGGACCCAGCGTAAGTCCTACTTCACGAAGATACAAGGCACAAGATGATGCCGCGCCGAAAGCACGATCACCATCAAAGGCATGGACTCGTTCACAGAAGGCCATCACGCGATCGGGCGACTTCCAAAACCATCGTTGGAGTGCACGCAGCATATTAGTGACCACATACAGGAGCGGATCAACCAAGTAAGAGGACACGGCCGCACATGATACAATTGTCGAGGCATTGTGCCACGGGACAACCAAGGCCGTGGTAGCCGCACGCCTGAGTTTAGTAAAATTGGCCGGTCCCATGAACTGGAATTCCAAACCATGGAGTACTTTAGACCATATTCCACCGCTGATGAGTCTCGCACGGAATGATGTTTGACGAAATAAAGCGACTAAAAAGGCGATTAAGGCACCCAAGCACAGTGATAGGGCGTGTGTCACCTATGGCATTTGCCTCTCTACCCTTGGGTAAGAGTGTGAGTTTGGCTTGTATTGCAACGCTAGGCCATTGGCCATCTTGCTGGACACGCTCCATCAAACACGCGAGATGTTGCAACGCAGGTTTAGGCAGAAGATTGAATTCCTCGAAACTCCAACCGTCTGCACCGCGTGCTTTGCTGTTGGGTAGAGTCTTAATAATGGAGATCCACCGATCAATGTCCTGCCACTTGATTTCAATTTCGGGAAAGATAATCGCAAGCTCATCAAGAATGTCATCTGCAGCATCCCAGTCCTCACTGGGCCAGTCTTGGAACGAGCTGTCGCGACCCCAGATCGGCTTCCAGTAATCATCAACGGCTGTGGTTAGGTCTTCAACTGTGTTGAGGACACGATTGAAGGAAAAGGTACCAGCAGTGGGAACGACCCCCGCAAGGAGTTGGGCATGCACGACAGGACCACGCACTTCGGTCACAAGCAGTTCAGCAGCACCAAGCCGGCACTTGCAGCCACATGGTACGTCAACCGGCCCATCAAGCTTAAGCCTCAGTGTACCTTTAGGGGAACGAACAATCCTGGCATCAGAGCAGCCTGGCGGGCCGCTCTCCTTGCCTTGTTAGCCATGCTCACAACCGAATTGGCATCTTCACGTGCGACGGCCA